CTCTTTAAGTTAGAAGAAGAAGTCAGGGATGCAAAGAGTACAGTCACTGAGTGAAGGTAAGGCATTTGGATTTCCCTACAGCTATGAATTTAGAGCGATATTTGCAATCCTGTGGAAATGGAAGGTGAAAAAATGCATATCTAGAATGTTTCTTGTCATGTAGGAGTCACAGAAGAGTGTCCAGAACTTGGGAAATGCTCAAAATTCCCTGCTTTCTTGTCAATATAGAATATGTTGTTCTTGTCAGGTGCCACTGAGGTACTTCAACTCAGAGTGAACCTGTGTGCACTAGAACGAAGGACTACCCAATTCTGTGCCATTCTCACAGTCTTACTGTGCTTGAGCCCAGTGTTGCAGCCACTGTGTCAATCCATCTCATTGAGGGTCTTCCTCTTTTTCACTGACCTTTTTTTATTTTCCAAACACAATATTCTTCATCAGGGAGTGGTCCTTTTTGACATCACCAAATAAACCAAAAAACCAAACTCACTGCTGTTGAGTTGGATCCGACTCATAGCGACCCCTCCTTGGGTTTCCGAGGCAGTATCACTATGGAAGTAGATTGCCCAACCTCCTTCCAAGGATGCCTGGTGGGTTTGAACCACCAGCCTTTGGATAGCAGTCAAATGCCTTAGACACTACACCACCAGAGCTCTTGAGCCCAGTGTTGCAGCCACTGTGTGAATTCATCTCATTGAGCTTCTTTCCCTTGTTCATTGACTTTTTATTTTCCAAGCACAATATCTTTCTCCAGGGAGTGGTCCTTTCTGACATCACCAAATAGGTGAGATGAAGACTGCCTGTTCTCACTTCTAAGGAACATTCTGGCTACACTTCTGTCAGGACATATTTGTCTGTTCTTCTGGCAGTCCATGATATTTTCAGTTTCTTTGTCAGCGCTACAATTCAAAGATATCAATTCTTCTTTGGTCTTCCTTATTTGTTGTCTAGTTTTGACATACATATGAGGCAGTTGAAAATATGATGGCTTGGGTTAGGTGCACCTTAGTCTTCAAAGTGACATCTTTACTACTTAATATTTTGTTGCTGTTGTTGTTGTTATGTGCTGTCGAGTCAGACCCAACTCATAGCAACCCCTCCTTGGGTTGCCGAGGCAGTATCACTATGGAAGTATATTGCCCCATCTTCTTTCTGAGGAGTGGCTGGTGGGTTTGAACCACCAGCCTTCTGGTTAGCAGTCAAGTGCCTTAGCACTATGCTACCAGAGCTCCTACTTAATACTTTAAAGAGGTCTTTTTCAACAAATTTTCCTAGGGCAATGAGACAGCTAGTATCTTGACTGCTGATTACCTAGGTACTGATTGTGGATCCAAGTAAAATGATATCACTGACCATTTTAATCTTTTCTCCATTTTGTGGTGTTGCTTAGTAGTCTAGTTGTGAGGATTTATTATTATTATTATTAAGTTATAGCCCATGCTATAGTCTGCATTCTTTAATCCTCATAAGTACTTCAAGTCATCTTCATTTATAGCAAGCAAGGTTGTTTCATTTGATTGTTAATGAGCCTTCCCCTAATACTAGTGTCACATTCTTCTTCATATAGTCCAGCTTCTTGGATTATATGCTCAGTATAGATAATGAATAAATATGATAAAAGGATACAGCCCTGGCACACACCTTTCCTAGTCTTAAACCATGCATATCCTCTTATTTTATCTGAATGACTGACTCTTGTTTTATGTACAGGTTCCTCATGAGCACAATCACGTGTTCTGGAATATCTGTTCTTCACAATGTTATCCATAATTTGTTATGATCCACACAATCTAATGCTTTTGCATAGTCAATAACATAGGTAAACATCTTTATCGTACTCTTTGCTTTCAGCCAAGATCCATCTGATATCGGCAATGATATCCCTCGTTCCACTTCCTTTTCTGAATGCAGCTTGAATTTCTGGAAGTTCTTTTTCAATATACTGCTGCAACCATTTTTGAATTATCTTTAGCAAAATTTTACTTGCATGTGATATTAATAATATTATTAGATAATTTCCACATTCTGTTGGATCACTTTTCTTTGGAATGACACAAATATGGATCTCTTCCAGTCAATTGGCCAGGTAACTGTCTTACAAATTTCTTGGCATAAATGAAGAAGCACCTCCAGTGCTGCATCCATTTGTTGAAGCATCTTAGTGGGTATTCTGTGAATTCCTGGAACCTTGTTTTTGTCCAGTTCTTTCAGTGCAGTTGGGACTTCTTCCTTCAGTACCATTGGTTCTTGATCATAGGCTATGTCCTGAAATGGCTGAAAGTTGACCAATTCTTTTTGGTGCAGTGACTCTTTGTATTCCTTTCATCTTCTTTTGATGCTTCCTGCATCATTCAATATTTTACCCATAGAAGCCTTCAATTTGATTACTTGAGACTTGAATTTTTTCTTCAGTTCTTTCAGCTTGAGAAATACTAAGTATATTCTTGCCTTTTCACTAATTCCAGGTCTTTGGACATTTCATTATAATACTTTATTTTGTCTTCTCATGTTGCCCTTTGAAATCTTCCATTCATGTATTTTATTTTGTCATTTCTTCCTTTCACTTCAGCTACTCTACATTCAACAGGAAGTTTCAATTTCTCTCATGATATTCATTTTGGTCTTTTCCCTTCTTCATGTATGATGTTCTTAATGTCATCCCACAACTTGTCTGGTCTATGGTCATTGGTGTTTGGTGCGTCAAATCTATTCTTCAGATGATATCTAAATTCAGGCGGGATATAATCAAGGTTATATTTAAGCTCTTCTGGAATTGGTCTAATTTTCTTCAGCTTCAGCCTGAACTTGCATAAGAGCACTTGATGGTCTATGCTATAGTCAGTTTCTGCCCTTGTTTTGACTGATGGTTTTGAGCTTCCCTATTGCCTCTTTTCACAAATGTAGTCATTTTGATTCTTGTGTATTCTATCTGGTGAGGTCTATATGTATAGTTGCCATTTATGTTGTTGAACAAAAGGTATTTGCAATGAATAGTTCATTGGTCTTAGAAAATTCTATCAGGTAATCTCTGGCATCATTTCTATCACCAAGGACACATTTTCCAACTAATCATTCATTTTCCTTTGTTTCCTACTTTTGCATTCCAATCACCAGGAATTATCAATGTATCATGATTGCATGTTTGGTCAATTTCAGACTTCAGAAGTCAGTAACAATTTTCAATTTCTTACTTTTTTTTTTGTGGTTGGTGAGTGGGTAAATTCAAGTAATAGTAACATTAATGTATCTTCTTTGTAGGCATGTCAATATTATCCTACCACTGACAGCATTGTACTTCAGGCTAGATCTTGCAATGTTCTTTTTGACCAAAATTATGACACCATTCGTCTTCATTTTGTCATTCCTGGCATAGTAGACCACATGATTATCTCATTCAAAATGGTGAATACCAGTCCATTTCAGCATACTAATGCCTAGGATATCAATCTCTATGTGTTCCATTTCATTTCTGACATCTGATTTTCCTGGATTCAGACTTCATACATTCCAGGTTCCGACTATTAATGAATACTTGCAGCTGTTTCTTCCCATGTTGAGTCATGCTGCATCAGTAAATAAAGATCCCAAAAGCTTTACTCCATCCACGTCATGAAGCTTGACTCTACTTTGAAGAGGCAGCACTTCGCCAATCATATTTGAGGGCCTTGCAATGTGAAGAACTCATCTTCCAGCACTATATCAGACAACATTTCACTGCTACTGTTTTCAAGTACACAAGTCCTGCTTTCCAGTAATATATCAGACAGTATTTCTCTGGTATTAATTCCTTTCTCTCTTGGTCTGGAAGCTCTGCTAAAAACTGTGCCCCATAAGTGATCCTGATGGTATTTGAAATACCACTGGCGTAGCTTACAACATCCAGGCAACATGCAAGCCAGCACAGTATGACAAACTGACAGACAAGTGATATAACAGAACATACTGTCCCTAAAATTAACTGACTAAATATAGAAAAAAGAGAAATACCCACTTCAAAGTAAATAACTTGAGGATATTTGGAATGCAAGCTGGAAAACATGAACCAAAATGCAGAACTGTTAACTAAGAATTTATAATCTTTTATCTCATTTTCAATTCCTTCTTGCCTGCTTCATTTACATCTAGCAAGCCAATAATGGTTCCCTAAACCTGAGTCGGGGCCGACTCGACGGCAAATAACAACAACAACAACAACAAACCTGAGAAATGCAACTGCCATACTTATGTTTTGGTTGACATGTTTCCACCACTAATTTTGGATAGCCAGAATGCACAGTTTACCTTATACTTAATTTCTGTTCCTATTTTTTTTTTTTCCCAACTGTCTTAGTTGTAGAGTGTTTACCTATTGCTCATACTCCTGTGCATAACTGCTCTTCCATACCTCTGTGCTAATTCACATGCTACACTCAGTCTGGAATGTCCTTACACCATTCCATTTCACTATTAGAAGCCTCAACCTGCTTTAAGAAAGTTTCCCTGACACTCCCAGGATGGACAGGCAGCCCTCCTCTTGCTCTGAGGTACTCTGCACCTACCTTTATCATTGCCTACAGATCTTCAACACTTCGTTTTGTAGGCCTTTCTGCAAAATATGAGCTCTTTGAGAAGAGGAGCTCAAGATTTTCCACCTTTATATCCTTCATTGCTGGCCCTAATAGGAACTCCATACATTTGTTTTAATATAAAAATGATTTGTGTGGGTTTTTAATTGTTGGCGTATTGCAACTTACTGTTGTTGTTGTTGTTATGTGCCATCGAGTCAGACCCGACTCATAGCGACCCCTCCTTGGGTTTCTCAGGCGGTATCACTATGGAAGTAGATTGCCCAACCTTCCTTCTGAGGAGTGGCTGGTGGATATGAACCGCCAGCCTTCTGGTTAGCAGTCAAGTATTTATCTACAATGTTTTCGTAATTCTGAGTTCAATTATTTATATTCAAGACTTTGAAGTAAATTGAAAAATACATTAAGAATTTGTACTTTATTTATATTTCTTAGGTTCTACCTCAACTTTGTTACTGAAGAAGTAGAAAATCCTGAAAAGTAAGTAACCACATTACTCTGAAATTACATAGTTGAAAAACTAGACCAAAAAGGAAATTCAGTGTTAGCTACTTAGCTTTACTATTATTATTGCTGTTGTTGTCCTTACTTTTTTTTTTTTTTCATCATCATCAGTTTCATTCTTTAAGTCAGATAAAGTTTATTTGGATTTGTCATAAATTATATGTAAATAACTTCATTGTATATTCTACATCTGATACTATATTATCTTGTAATCTGAAGGCAGAAAAGAATAAGGTTACATTACACAGTGAGTTGGGATAGATTCAACCACAACAAACAACAAAAATAACCACCTTATATAGAAATATTCTTATAACTTAACATGGACTCTTTGCTACCTACAGGTGCTCCGTAAGACACAAACTCCAAAAGCTGTTTATTTCTAATAATTAATTTGGATTTTTTTTTAAAATAATGATCCAGTTGAAGGGAATAATGCAATCAATGAATAACTAGTTATAGAATCCCATAAATATCTGTAGAATGATTTAAGAACTTGTAATATCTGGGAGTCAGCCCCAGGGACAACTCAGGGAAGCCCAAAGCAGCAGGCCAGAAGAGCAAGAGAAAGGGGATTAAAAGCCAGGAAGCCAGACAGAGGAACAGTCAGCCACAGGGACCCAGGTGGGGGTGATACGAGAGGTCTCCAACAGCAAGACAAACTTGTCTGTAGGTTTGTCCT